CGACCCCGCCCCGCCCCACCCCGCCTCTCCGTGTCGCCCCAGTCGAATTAGAAAGTCGTTATGTGTTCCTCTTGGCAGGGCGGTGACGAAGACGGGTCTCCTTTTTTTCCCCCATTCCTTCGCTCCTTCGGGGCCACCCGTTAGCACAATATTGGCCGAGCGCGCTTCTCCTTCACTCATCGAATCCGTCTCTCTCCGTCGCACTAGTTGGCGGCGCGGTGGAGAGAGAGAGAGAGAGAGAGAGAGAGAGAGAGAGAGAGAGAGAGAGAGAGAGAGAGAAGGGAAGGGAAGGGAAGGGAAAGAGGTGGGGGGAAAATAGGCAGGAAAGGGGGAAGGGGATTGCCGGCGTCGCTTTGAGAGGTATCGAGAGGGTTGAGGTTGTGTGTGTGTTTTGTGGGCCGAGCATCGCAGTGCCTGGAACCGCGCGCGCTCAAGTGGCTGAGTGATTCACTGGTTTGCTTCTCCATGCAGTTTTTCACAGAATGTCCCCCACCGCACCTCCTTGCGGTGGTTGGACTTCCCTGCCAGTGTGACGTTCTGGTCGGTGTCCTCCTGTTGCTGACGCACATTGTGTGCCTCTTGTGTTGCAGTCCAACAACGAGGAGGAGGCGAGCGACCCGGAGCTCGGCGATGAGGACAGCGACGACGTCCTCCGGCGCCTGCCTGTCCTAGGCGGGCTGGCGGCCGGGCTGGCCGGCGGCCTGGCGGGCGCGGCCGCCGCCGGGGGCGCGTCGACGGGGCCCGGCGACGCGAGCAGCCCGCACTCCAACGGTGACCCCGAGGAGGGCGGCGACGTCTCGGGCGAAGGCGAGCCTGACCAGGATCACGACGACAGACCCGAGGACCACAAACAGGTAAGAAGTGCCCATGACAACGATCACGAAGGGTTATTAAATTTTCCAAAAAAGTGTTTGGGGGGGAATTTTCAAGATTTGTAGAACATTTCCTTTTGATTTTCTATGAAATTTCATTTTTTACAGTTTAATGGAAATGTCTCAACCTTTTCTATTTTTTTTTTCGGGAAAGTTTTCATTTTTTTCCGGAAAACTTCTGGACTTTTAAGTTCCTAAATCGTGGTAGCGCGCCGCGATGACAGAGTCGAGTCTTGAGCCCCTGCGTCTCTGTTGCAGAACAACAACAATAACAGCAGCAGCAACAACAACAACAGCCTGGGCAGCGGGCGGTCGTCGTTGGAGCGGGAGCTGTGCCGGCCCCCCAGCGCGCCGCACGGCCAGCCGCACGGCCAGCCCCCGCCGGGGCTCACCCCCAGCAGCACCGCCACGCCCTTCTCGCTGCCCTTCCCCTTCCCCCACCCCGCCGCGGCCGCCGCCTTCCTGCCGCCCCCGGGCGCCACCCCCAGCAGCACGCCCGGCGCGGCCGCCAACCCCCAGCACCGGCACTCGGCCTCGTCGGCGTCCTCGCACTCGTCCGAATCGTCCACCTCGTCACAGCAGACGTGGAGCTTCGAAGAGCAGTTTAAACAGGTGCGGCAGGCAAGTGACGTTCCAACCCCTCACCCCCACCCCTATGCCACCCCCTTCCCGCTCCTTTGCTGGATGTTCGGCATCGCGGGCATCGCCGATAGGACGTAGATATGAAAGTTTTCAAAAGCAGCGTCGAGTTTAAACACCCGGGAATATGTCTTTTTTTAGTCTTAATTTAAGTTCTTTCGTTCATTTTTCACAACAGTCAAAATCTTTTTAAATTTTTGTTTTATTTTGATAGCTTTTGGGGATGCCAAATTTGCCGGAACCCTTGCCTTTTTCAGTCCACAATTTTAAATCTGTTAGTCAAAACCTTTTTCTATTGTTGCATCGTTACTTTGTTGCGCATGAACGCGGTCCGGGATCATATTTGTGCTTCATCGCCTCATCGAATGCAACACGTGCACGGGCCCCGACAGGGAAGGCCGGGAGGCCCGTTAGTTTGTGTTTTAATAAGGAGGCATGGCCAGCATGGCGATTAGCTATAGGAATACTTCGGAAATAAATGGCGGGTCGTTTGGGTGGCATCCGACCCGGGCGGACGGCCGGGCGGACCGACCGACCGAAGAGCAGTTAAGCCCCTCTGGTCGGCGAGCCGATGAGTTTCCAATCACGCGAGTGTAACTATACTCGCGCGCGAGGTTTTCGAGTGCTTTTGGATTCGAGTGTATCGGACGATGTCGATTGACCGCTCAC